CACTTTGGTTTCTTCAAGATCAAATAGTTGAAAATCTTCTCAACCTTTTGAATAATTTTTAACCATCATCCCCGTGACCTTTGACTTCTGACTTTGTTTGACAAAGTCTGATAGTTCATGTTTTCGGAATCATTTACTAACCTGATTAAAATGAATAATTTCTAATCAACGTGGTTATTAAATTCAAGTATAGAATTGCATTTAGTGTGTGACAAAATGACTATTTCCAGTAAGTTATTCCATAACCTAAGATAAAACCATAATTTATTTATCATTTACCTTTTTTTATCCTCTAGCTGCCTTGATTCAGGTTTTCCATTAAGAGCTTCATAGTGACTTACGTAAAACATGTTTATCTTCTGGTCATGTGTTAGAATGAAACACTTGTAACAACGTACGAATGCTGAAAAATAATATTTTTCTTTATTTTTTACGATATTTAAACAATTAACTTGCTAAATATAATGCTAATGTTTAAAAGCGTTATAAAATGTTGCTCATTCAGGAAAGGTGTTCTCTCCCGTTATAAAGTCAAATAATTTGAAATGTTTTTGTTTAAGAATGAAAAACGATCTTTCCATTTGTTCAAATACATTTAGTCCTTAACTTGCTCCCTGCAAAACTGTTGTCCTCGTCTGTGTGACTGTTTAATTTTTAAGTTTTTTAATTTGCTGTCACCGTTGAAAAATATCTGGTGTCCGATTACTTTCATCATCCGGCAGAACGGTTAAGTGAAACCTGAAATTGTCGAAATAGTCCCACCAAGCACATTTCAAACAGAACAGCAGTGTGACGAACAAGCTCGTTTTCAGTGATTCGTAGTAATCTTAATACATGTCAATATACATATATCAACACTTGGGAATAAAATTGACTTGGGAAAATAAAACAAAATAAAATCATAGATTACTAGAAACGATTTTCTCGTGAGACCGGAAATCGGGCTCACTATGATCACACATTTATTTGTCCGAGGCTATCCGACCCCTGTATAAAGTTCGTGGGCGATTATTGAGGCAGGTTTGCTGTCGGATACTGTCTATAACAGAACCGGTGAGCATTTGTCTGCACAGCCTTCTCCCCTTCTGTGTGCCCAAAAACAATTTTTGCAAGCGGTAAAGCTTCCCTGGCTCACCTGGCACACATACCCTTTCACGTGTAATCTCGATGATCGGATGAGTGAACAAACAAACGTGTGATCATAGTGAGCCCGATTCTCGATCTCACGAAGAAATCGTGTCTAGTAATCTATGATTTTATTTTGTTTTATTTTTCCGAGACAATTTTATTCCCAAATAGTGATTTATAATGACATGTATTGTCATGAATACAAATCTCTGTTTGTTCACCACTCTGTTGTTCTGTTTGAAACCTGAAATCTCAGGTCAATGGTTATTATGGTAGTTTTGAAATATGCAAATACTTTGGAATTCTCGGCAACCAAATCTCAGTGAAACCTTCTATCGGAGTGCCAATTGATGCTGTTGTCATTACTTTCATAAATAAGTTTTAAATTTGGTATAAAAACAAGTTATTGATAATGAGCGAAACCTCAAAACAGATGAATATGTTTTGCAAACGAGGGAGATTGAAACATTCTGTGAAGCTTTATATTTTTACTTTATAGTTAATAGACCTATAAAAACCTCTTATTTTGCATTAATAAATAAATTACGATAATCATACAAATTACTTAGCTATTATAATTCCTTTGATAACTATATGTGGTTGCGTTTTCAAACACTTTTTCTTCAATTCCGTATGCAACTTTCATCAGCGTTGCAAGTCACCAATATTTCGTTATCAACCTTCAGTTTTAATCAATGTTACTAAATCTGCTTGGTTTTTCTTATCCCAACGAGTTTAACATGTTATCTGAAAAATGTTTGCAAACCGTTTGTAAAATAAAATTTCTCTAATTTGGTCTACAAACGTTGGTTACGAACAACCCATAATATTTTGACATGTCGAACGGCATAGGGTAACTGCTAGTCTTCAAGGGTCGAGAACATAAGCAGAATATTTTCTACATTCATTGGTATGTACCCGCATATGTAGAAACAGATCTGTGATTTTATTTTCCACTACACTTTATTTAGTCTTCCATATTCCTAATAAATCTCTGAAAGATCTGGTTTTGTTTGCGATGTTTGAATTTGATGATCATTTGTACATAATGAGGGTGCGATGTTTTTTAACACTATCAGGGTTTCTCTGTATGGCACATTTACAAAGTGTGATGAGTTAATTTTTGTCTAAACCAAGAATTCTTTTATAAATCATTTAGCTGTTTGATAATCCTAAACCATTTTGGGCTGAATGCTTACAAAATCCCTAAAATCGTGCTTCATAATGACTAATTTGTTTCATCTCACATTTTTAATGAAGAGAAACTTGCAAAAATGATANACTTGCAAAAATGATATAGACTCGACGAAGAGTACATTCAAACAGAATAAACTTCAGTGCCGCAGAAAACATGGTTCATTGGTTCTGCTAAGCTGTCGTTTTAATTTGTTTTACAAACTGAAGAACATTTCATCGGCAATAATAAACAGTTTTTATGTCAAGAACAAATTAATTTTATGAAGTGAAGTTATTTCAAAGCCCATTACGAAAACCTACATTAGCGAGTTATTTAAGTAACTCGTTTTCATCAAAGCTAAAGAATATGAAACTGGAACTCTGTTTTATTTATTTTTAGCTTCTGTAACAAGATAGTGAATTTTATTTGAGTTCATGTTGCTTTAGGTTACTTTGAATTCTTTAATTTAATAATGAATTTCATTTTAAGAAGAAAACCTTACTAATTCTGTTGATTATGTCTCCCTCGTCCAGTGTACTTACTATTTTTTTGTTTCCAATAGTATTTCCAGAGTATCAGTTCTGTTCTTTAAAGCAGCAAACATTTAGCATACAAAAACGAACAGCTTATTTATCAAAACGAGAAGATTGTGTTTATTAAAGTACGTCTTTTAACTGTTTAGCATCAAACGTTTCTGATATTACTTTATGTATATTTTGATATTTTTGTGTAAATATTTGTATGTATACGTTTATCCAACAGTTTTTCACCGTAGGAATTGCATTATTCACATAAAATCAAACTTCAAAGGTATCTTCAATCAGTGCAATATTGAGAATAATGCAGTAATAAAAATAATGCATATTCTTCATACTTTATTAGACTTTCATGCTTCAAATCTAGAAGATAACCAGAAGAAGAAATTTCAATAAGTGTATATTAAGAGGACGCTTTAGAAAAAAAGAAAAACACCATTCTAGAAGGCTCTTGTGAAACCATTGAAATTGTTTTTGTGGCTTTTTAGTAATTATATCACGAATGATTAAATCAGACAATCGGTGCTACATTTTTTCTGTTTTGTCAATCCTCTGGATGATTTTGGTTATGTTTGAGACCAAAACTTGGGCCCATGCCCATCCCGCTGAAATTTCATTTGATGAATTCAGAGAGTTAACGGTATGTAGGTGCAGAGCGACTTAAAGTTCTTACGATAAACGAAGTAATATATTTTTGTAACAGTACTATGTTTACAGGTTTATCTCTTCACTTTCTTTTTAAGAGCCTCGGTAATGTATCCGGGATTTGAGATAAATATTTGTTTACCAAACTCACTGAAATAGCCTTATCTAAAATGGAATTTTGCTGTACTAATACAGTATTATGATTGTGATACGATGCACCACAAGTACCATCCGATAATTAGACCTATTTAATTATTTTCAAATTACCGTAATTAGGCAGCTGAAACTCAATTAAGTTGCTATGGCTTACCTCAAGGATTGAAGTACTTTGATGTTAGTTCCATGAAAACACAACGAGCATTGAAAGTTGCATATGCTAAATTATTTAAATCTTTGTATACACATATGGTATTTTGACACCAAATAACAGTAATATAACATAAATTTTAACAATCAGTGTATTGATTTGAACAGTCTTTAGAAGTTCTACTCAAGAAGAATAATCGATTCTTTCGGAAAATACTGCGAAAAATTACGGTTGCGTTATGGTAAATATTCTCTCTCGAAGCATATCACTCATCCCCTGGTAGGCACCCCGGCCGCACACCAGTATTGAATATACATCTAGTGATTCTTATCTTCTCTTTATTTTGTTGAATATAGGACAGTGGGCCACCCACCAAACCCCGATCAGCACAGAGGTACACTGGAGAGTCACCATTTAATCTCCTTATCGCATCTCACTGATTATACATAAAAACTAAAAAATGAGTATCTGATGGCTTATAAAAGTTCAATCAAAAAAATAACCGTTTCAATGTGCATTACTTGACATAAGATTCTTATGAAAATGAACAATTTATGCGATTTAACAGAATGTGTCACGTATCAAGGAAAAATCTTTTCTTGAGTATCCAAATGCTACAATTCCTAATCACTTCAGTAATATCGGAAGATTATTGGGTAAAATGTTATTCATAATGAGAAATATCCGAGAGAAAAATTTCATGAAGGTTGATGAAGCTTTATAAAATCAATATTTGTTCACAGACACGATCATTAATCATTGAATATGAGCTTATGTCCCACATTGTTTTAACTAATGGCACTGCAGGTACTGCACTAGTAAGCATCATGTTTTTACTTTACTTCAATGGCCAAGCTAATTAGCCTGACAGCAGTGAAAACTCTTAGAACGAGCGTAAAAATTCACGATAACCAACGTCACGCAAACCCGTAAAAAATTGTATTCCTCTGACTGGATTTCGCTAGGTGCCTTTTATGATTGGAGTCGATGGAACCTCTCGGGAGTTGACTGCAATCGTCTTATTATAAACTAAAAATAAATTGTCTTAACTATGAGTTTCAAAAATAAATTCCTTAAGTGCCAGAACATAAAAAGGAACCAAACGTGAAAAACAAAATATTCTGTGGTTCAGAAATCATAATTATTTACCATTTGGTAGGATTATAACATGGAATATAAATTTCCGCATTTCTATTTTTAAACTTACTGCCCGCGACAATGCCACCTATTGCGGCAGGTGACAGAGCCAGATTATTTCCGCTGTCGAAATACGCCGAAAACGCTGACAGATAGTTTTGGCTAGGTCCAAGTTTCTCGACAGGTGAAGACATCGCTTTATGTCAACTTTTATTCATTTCATACAGTGCGCTATTGACAACATCAGTGACCTCGGGTAAATCGACAGGTTAAAACAAACACCGATTCCAACTTTTCTATTTCCTTCACATGGGTAATTCATCGCTCATTCCATTGTCAGTATCTCATTGGAAATTCTCCGTGCACAACACTCAAGTGTTCATTGTCATCCCCTGTCGAATGACACTGAATAACAGTTTCGTCTACTACATTCAAGGTAGCATCACGGAACTGATGATCGAGACCAATTGAGAGTCCGGAATTCCTCCGGTTGTTTTCTGACCGAATGATCGCCCAACGCTTTCATCTTAAGTTCAACTTCTTAAACTGTGGTTCTTAACAAAAACAAATCCCAAACATTTCAGGTTTCAGTTCAGTTCAGTTCTCACAGGACGATTCCTGGCTCTTGTCGATCACACTTCTAGTTCCTGGAGTTGTCGGCTATTTCAGTGATTACCAATACTTCGATTCAATAGTATTTTCTAAAAGGCAGTGTTAGTGTGCAAAATGAGATCCCTTACAAATTTCCGAAAAGTGAAGCCTAACGGTTAACTACCAAAATTCAACTTCTGGTCCAGAACTCGACGGCGAGATCCCGAAATTGACAAGTTTCTGGCTCTGATGGGCTCTTGAATACGCGATTGCGTCGACGGTATATATGTCCTCAGAGAACGGAAGATTTTCTGGTGCCATTCTTGTATCCAACTTCTGTCACAAACATGCAAGCATAACACTAAAATTTTATTAGTGCAATATGAAAAATAGCACTCCTAAATCATTCACCTAGATGCAACTTCACGCGTATGTTCTACAGTCCTCGCAAAAATGTTATTTCATGCTTTTTTCAAGCTTCAGCTTGATTTGCGTCACCGTAACGATTCATACTTCTTTCGTCAGATCATCTCAATCACTCACAACACTGAAGGGAAAAAATTGAATCTGGATCCCCAATCTGAGTCTGGCTTTCTCCAGTCTCAGTGCATGTGCTTTGAGTGCTTCACTGCCTCTCGTCTTAAGCATTAGCTCCTAGAAGCCCTTTACGCGCATCATGCCTATCATTATCGTGAACGCTACGAGTAGGTCTCGTCAACCTTATTCTTTTGCGAAAGATCAGCCTGAGCTGGTTCAACTTCAGTCCCCTATAGTGACCAAACCACCTGCTGAACCGACGCTGGGCCTGAGCGAGAAGCCCGGTATCCCCCACCAAGTTGGGCGTCCACCCTTGAACGCAATATTCCAGGGATTAAGTGTACAAGCGTCTTGCATAGAGGTAAGAGGAGGCTTGGTTTGTTCCAACCTACTGTCCAGCTGTTATAGCCCCTGCATTGTTTTATGTGCAGCTTGGCGACACTGTTGGCTCGCCTTCAATTTTGGCCCCATATTCACTCCTAGAACTCTTGTTTCAGCTGTCCACTTCATTTTCCTTTTGTCCCCTGGTGAACACCTTTACCGAATGGGTACATCTTCTCTTTCCTCAATGAATTACTGGCATTTCGCCGTATGCGGAG